CCCCACCTCCACCCCCCATGTCGATTGGACAAGGGACAAGAACTGGTATCAGACATCAGAAGTTAGCTGCTTGACTAATGGGATGGTTGGGCAGACCAGCTGGGGAGGGGACAGCATGCCCTCTAGCTGTTCACTCACCCTCTCTTTCTGCCCTCTTTCCCCGCAGCAGGTCTGAGTGAAGGAGATATCCTGGATACAAGACTGCAGTTGGGAGTGTGTGGACACTGGATTTGTTTCTTATTTCTTCACTTTTGGGGAAAATCTCTTGTTTTTAAAAAGTGATAAATTTGGTGTTAGGTCCTTGGCATTTTCCTTCTTTCCTGACTTGGAGAATCTTTTCTCTCTCCCCTCTTGTCTTGCCCTTTCTACAGCCCCTGACCTTGTGCTCAGCTCCCTCTGGGCAAGAGAATTGAGAAGGGGGTTCTTCTCCAACCCTGTCCTTACTTGCTGTGGGAAGAGAAATGGGAGTCAGATAGATGGGAGGACTAACTTCCAGGGTACCAAGAAGAAAGAATGGCCCAGGCTGTCTTTTCCTATTAAGAAGAGATATCACCACCTGGCAGGGCTGCCCTGCAGCTGCATAACTTGGAGCTCTGAGGCTGGTCCCACTGTGACTTTGCTGTGAGCACCATCTACTGGACACAAGGGAGAACTGCAGCCTGGCAGGGCCCATGGGAAAGACTGGGTGTGGTGTTGTGTGAATGCCTCCTTGCCTCCCAAACTTCAGGATGTGTTTCCTCCTCCATCTGTGAAGAGAACACGACCCCTGTTCCAACCCATTAGCAAAGATGTACTGAAAAAACAATAAGAGACCCTTGCTGGGAACTGGGAAGGTTACCTCTCCTTGTCCTAGACACCAAGGGGCCAGGAAAAAGACAAAAGCTAAGCATAGGTGAAGAAACTTCCTCAGACCCCATAGCCAGGCCTCTTCTGCTCCCTACTTTCAGTTTTTCCAGGTAGTGGGGGGGAGAGGGAAGAAAGGAAGGCAAAATTTGCCCCTCCTACTTAAGCAGTTTGATGGAGAGAAAAGAACCTCAGAAGTATAAGGTCCCCCTTACACTTCTGCCCTCCCTACTGGTGTCCTCAGGCAAGACCTCAGCTCTCTGGGCCTCAGCTTGCCCCCTATATCTATAACAGGGAGAGCACCGACCACACTGGGGCTTTATCAAGCTTAAAAGAGAGTGTATGTGAAGATACTCAGTGGACTTCCACCCAATGAACACCAAACACAGCCACGCCTGGTCTCCCTCCTTTATTGATCTCTGACTATAGAGGGTTCTGGGAGGCCAAGGGCAGGGGTGAGTCACATGCGTCTCTGCCCCACTCCAGGTGGGGTAGGAGGGACAGGTGGCAAGGTGGCAGGTCTAAGAGACAGACCATGGATATGGACTTCACACAAACAGACGGACCACTGTACAAATGCATGGTTGGTATTTACAAGAAAGGAGGAGGACAGTCACCTGGACTTGGGCCTTTCCTGGGACAAGGTGGGGCAAGAGGAGCCTGAGGAGAGGAAGGGGCAGGGCCTTGGTGGGCTCTCTTTAGAGGACATGACAGCAGCAGCCCTGAGCCCCTCCCCACCTGCCTTCCACCCACCGCTGCCCACTTGTCCAGAGGAGGCCTCTTGGTGCCTGCAGCTGGGCCAGTGCTGGAAGGGGCAAGAGGGGAGGGATCCTCTGTTGGTAACCCAGCATTACTGGATTATACCCCCCCATGACCCAGCTAGTCTCTCCTGCCTGTGCCCATAAGATGCATTCTAAAGGTGCTTTGCTGGGAAGACTCAAAGCACTTTACAGACATTGGTCGGATGGAAGCCGCCCAGCCCCAGGGGAAAGGAAGTAGGCAAAGGGCTCAGGCATCAGCCAGGGCAGGTGACATGTCCAGACCAGTCCCAAGCTCTTGAGGACCCCAGGAAAAACCTCAGTCCCTAGTCCTCCAGTTACCATTACAGAATGGGAGAGAGGGAAGACTGCAAGGGGTCGAGCTGGGGATGTGGCTGAAGCAATGCAGATCTGGGATAAAGAGGCTGTCCCCCCATTCCCAGGCCCTAGAAAGATATCATGCCCTGAAGGAGCCCACTCCCCTCCCCATACGTAGGGCTCTGAAACCCCCCAGCTTTCTAACCTATTCCAGCCCCTCTCAGGGGAGGAAAAGGGGGACCCAGACCTTCCAGCTAAGATCTGGGGTGGGGGCTGAGGGAACCCCCAAAATGTATTGCTTAGAAACTTGGAGTCTAAAAGGGTAGGGGAGGGCTCAGGGGGCTGGCATCTCTGACCCTCCCCCCAGGCCCTGGGAAGCCTGCAGGAAGCTCCCCTTTCCCAGACAGCCATCTGGCCATGGCGGGGAGTCCAGAGGCAGGGGGATGGCCACAGTGACCATTGGGAGCCTGAAGTTCCCCAGTCTTGCTGCCGGGAGATTAAAGTGCAGCCCAATGGGTGTCCGGTGGGGAGGGGCCCTTCCCCCAACCCCACAATCTTGGCATTTGGCCTTTGGGTGGGTTGTCTGTTTCTCAACCTCCCTGCTCCCTTGGAGCAGTTGGGGGAGCCAGTCCCGATGGATGGTGCTGATGACATCGAACACTTGGGACTCAATGAGGACCTGAGGAAAGAAGGAGAAGTCTTAGTGCTCGGATCTTTGCCTTTATCTCCAGCCTCACTTGCCTTCTCCAAGTCCCACCCAGATCCCCACTCAGTTCCACATATAGTTGTGTAAAGAATACCCTGCAGAAGGGTACCCAGCCAAGGTGTGCGCAGGAGCTGCAGCTGAGGTCATGCCAACTGACCTCACAGAGCCTTGTGCCCTGGGCTGGTTCCTTTTCCCGAACCCTCACGAAGGTGCTACACAGGATGGCTGTAGCCTTGCTCAGGCCGCACCCTGCCCTGAAGAGCTGCCTGCTTTCCGACTGCAGGGACTGGGACAGAAGAACTGGAAGGGTTTCCTTGCTTCCCACTCATGCCCTGACTCAATTCTATGTGTTCACTTCCTCCACTTTCCTGCCTGGAAGGAGGGAGGGAGAACATCACATCCACTGAACCCCAGGGACGACTCTTCAAAATGCCGTGTTGGACACCCAGCTCTCCCTACTCCCTGCCCAACATCAAGACCTCCCCGCTCCACCGTGACAGGCTCACCTGGGCCAGCCCCAGGCTAGTCCAGATTCCCATTCTGGTTGTGTTCATCTTCGGCAGGGGAGGGTGGGGCTTCCTCCTCACAGGGGGACAGCTCGTCAATGGACATCTGGTTGGTGATGCCTGCAGAGGGGCATGAAGGAAGCTGGGACCAGACCAAGAAATAGTTTTCCCCAGAACCCAAGGAGTATGTGGAGAAAAGTAAAGGATTCTCTTGCATCCTCCTGCCTTCAAGCTGAGCTACAGTCAACATCTGCCCACTTGGGGAGAGCCTCTCCAGCCTCGCTGATTACAACCCTCAACTCCCATCTAAAGGAAGGGCCTTACCAGTCAGGGCCACCAGGTGGCTCAAATCTCCAGGGGCACCATTCACAGACCACAGTGTGCATAGGGCCCCTTGGGTTGTGGAATATGGCTGTCCCTGTCCTCTCTCCAGTCCTCATTCTAGAACAGTCGAGGCCAATTAGCTAGCTGGTCAGTCTTTCCTGCGATCTAACTTTAATCTGATCAGCTCCATTCCCAACCCTAGGAGTCAAAGGGCTGCTCCAGGGGCTTAAGGAAAATGGACCTGCTACTACTCCTTTAGCCACTGTCTTCCCCCAGCTTCATCCGCCACAGTGGTACTCACCACTTGCTGCCTGTTCCTTCCATTTCTGCTTGTTCTCCTGAATGTATTTGGTCCAGGTGGAGCGGAAGCTGATCACATCAGGGTTGGGGTCTCCAACTTCCACATCCAGAGAAGGCTGGCGCCACTGGAAGCTAGAAGCAGGGTCCCCCCACAACTTCAGAGGTGAGACCCAGCCCACTCCAGAGCAGCCTTCAGTCCCTCAGTGTGGAGGGGGTGGAAGGCCAGGAGGCGGCCTAGGGAGCCTCTTCCTCCTCTCCTTTTCCCTCTGCTAGGTACCCACCAAGTCCCTGACCTCCTGCTCCCAGATTTCACCCCTCCCTCTCCACACTTTCCCTCTTACTAGAAGGAAAATAAAAACAAGATTAGCAGAAAGGCAATAAAGACAGAGCTAATGGAAGAGACAAAAATATGGGGGAAGGGAACACAGGTGCAGCACACACTTCTGGTCCCACGCCCCCATCCTCCTGCCCTGTGTGTGACACAGCAGAGCGGCTCCCGCGTTCAGGGCGGTCTCCTCCACCGCCCCTGCCATGGTTGTGCCTCCTCCCTGCGAGTCGGCCCTCTGTGCGTCCAACTTCCCTCGCCCAGAACCAGGAGCCCCGGCTCCCGTCATCCTCACCTGGGCTGGCTTTTAGACTTGGAGTCTTCATCCACCAGGGGCTGGACACTCTTCTCAGCCACATCAGTCAGCACAGAGAATGTGGGCTCCACAATGAAGTCGATGAAACCTGCAGTGAAGAGAACAGCACCATGAAGATGACTCACCTGGAGGGCTGGGCAGCGGATGTGGCTGGCACGGCTGTGACCCTTCTCTAAGTGTAAAAGTAGCCTGAGGCTAAAAGGTTCCCAATGGGGGCAGCCTTTGAGATGATGTCTTTGTGACCCCAGAGAACTTCTCCCCGCCATCACACCCCCTGGCCTTCCACCCAGGACCCCATGCCCTAGACGGCAGGCTTGCCTCTATAGGAATACTGGTTTTGAGGGCTGGCTGCTTGGGGCAGTCCTGGCCCAGGCCCGGACAGCATTCTTTCCCCTTCGTAATCCTCTCTCCCTGCCGGAAAGGATACTCACCAATCTGGGACTGTGCCACGAGAGTGGAAGTACGGTCACACAGCGGGGAAAAGGGCAGACCCAGCTCTGCCTCCTTGTCACCCTGGGGAAGAAGACAGGGAAAAGCTGGAGAGGATACCTCAGACTACCAGATCCAGGGTGAAGCTGGGGTGGTAGGGGTTTGTTGTGGGAAAAGAGGAATTTCTGTGCCTGTGACCTGGAAATCAGTGATATGCAAATGGGATGCACCTGTCATCAACCATTGTTCAGCTTTTAGGATGATGACATTTTATCCCACGGGTTTGGGGTCAAGTCAGAAGCTACAGGTTGCTGAATGAAGATCTGGAGTAGGAGTGTGGAAAACATGGAAAACCAAGGGAGAGAAGGCCCCTGGGCAGGGGTGGGCAAAGATGCCATGCTACCTGGCGGAAGAATTCTTCCATGAGAGCCTTGGTCCAGCGGCTGTGAACTGACCACTGCTTGGTTGGGTGGCTGATGTCTGCAGCATGGAGCAGTAGAGATAGGGCCTTGGACTTGTCAATCCTGGTCGAGGCAGATGGCAAGAGCAAGGAAAAGGAAGCCTGAACCATTCCTAACTTCCCATCACCTGCCCTCTCTCAGGTCCTCTCAGGTAACTTCAAACACCCTCTGAGGATACATACACACACACATAGCAAGCAGCCCAGGCTCTTAGAATCAGAGGTCTGGGTTCAATCCCCACTACACTTATTACACACTAGTTGTTCAACACAGAGGAAGTTACTTAAATTTGTCATATTTCATTTTCCTTAATCCTTAGTAGAAATAATAGAATCTACCACATAGAACTGTCCTGAGAACTAAATGACATACAACATAGGAGTATTTAGAAGAGTGTCTGGCACGTAGTAAGTGCTCAGTAGATGTTATCTATAATTATTATTATTACTATTTTATTATTTTCCAACAACGATATGGTCTGACACTGCACATTCTCCCCCACACAGACAAACTGACACACACCTCAGGACACACACACAGTCTGTTCTCTCTTACACACATTTAGATACTCCCACACATTTACATACTCCCACTTCTAAGCAACATCAGATGTAATTATGGCCTTTGTTCTGTGTTTTTGTCTTTAACCTCATATGACTCTCTCAATAGCCTTCTTAGAGTAGAAACTGGTAACAAGCTGTTGAGGGAGGCATATATTTTCACATTTCACAAATAAGGAAATGAGTCCAGAAGAGTTGAATGAGTTTCCCAGCATTCCAGAGTAAGCCTGTCCTCAAACTGAGATGAAAACGCCCATCGCAGACTCCCAGCCCAAAGTGCTCTCAGTACACCAACTGCCTGGGCTGTACATTAACACAGGGTGATTTGCACACACATGTCACACTCACACTCACACACACACACACACATATACTCAGCTATCTGGAGCCAGGAAAGCTTCCACATCCAGGTAAAGACTTGGCACGCCAATCACTCATGCATATGCCCCCCAATTCACACACCCCTCACTCTGGCCTAGCCCTGGCCACACCCCACCAAATGCCACCTCTCCAGCTGCTGCAAGGCTGTCTTCATGGACTTCACTTGCTGGAAATGACAGGACATGTCTGTGGCCAATACCATCTCAATGACCAGGGCCCGCAACTCTCTGAATGAACAGAACCAGAAAAGTGATCAGCCCCACAGCACTGTTGGCAGGAGGTCCTGGAAGTAGAAAGAGAGGACTGAGATGATGGGGGTCCCACTCCCGGCTTCTGCTCACACAAACTCATCCTTGGTGAGGTTGATGAAAATGTTCATCTCGTCGTCCTGCATCATTCGGAAAACAGAGCTGATGTGGTGATTCTCCAGCACTGAGCGGTCATTGTACAGGATGGCACATTCTGACCTGCAAAGCCAAAGGTCATCGGGTTCAGCCCTCTGTAAGTGGAAATTCTGGCAATCTCCACTTGGCCCCCCCTGCCTTGCCACACCCCAGCCCTCACTTGGTCTGGATGTGGAAGCTGTTGGTAGTGCCTGTGTGTTCATAGTCGTGGATGGCTGCTGCAAAGATGATGGCCAACACCTCGATCTCTGACAGGCAGTGCTGGGAGAAAGAGAGACGATGAGAGGGGCCAACCCTGTGCAGTCATGCCAAAGACCTCCACATACAGGCTAGACCACTCACACCATCCTTCCCATTCTCCAAGGCCAGTTCTTGGGCTAATGCAGCCAGATTTCTCAGCTCTGGAATGGCCAAGGACCCTCCTCCATCTCAATCTGCAACATTCCCACTGCATTCCAGCACACATCCTGTGAAATTATGGTCCACCCAGGAATTATGTAGAGCAAGTCCAGTTTGACTCTGAAGACTGTGGGATGCCGAAGGAGAGGAACCAAAGAGAGAAGAAGGGAAATGGGAGTACAGTCTAGCCATCCCAGCTACGGAGCCACAAAACCCTGAGTCACAGAAGAGTGACCTCCAGGGCACCTACCACCATCCCTGTGCGAAGCAAAAAGCAGTGGACTGTCTGGGTAACATCAGCTGCGTGGATCTGGTTGTGGTAAGGGTTCTTGTACTTCCCATAGCCTGTCTCCAAAGCATCCAGTAAAGTCATCAAAAACACAGTGGGAATCTGCAGTAGGAGGGAGGAAACGGAGATATGTGGAGGATCTGCAGGAATGGCAGGGGGCCCAGGCCTGAGGTCAGCAATGCCGTTTTTCTTTAGAAGGCAGCATGGCACAGGGAGAGAGCACTGGCTCAGCAGTCTGGTGAACCTAGGCTCACATCCTGGCTCTACCACCTGCTGGCTGTGCGACCTTGGGCAAGTCACGTGCCTCCCTGTGCCTCAGATACTTAATTGCAGAAAGAAGATACCACCTCCTACCTTGAATTTAATGAAATAAGTACAAAGCATTTAGTAAGTGCTCTCTGAAGAGTAGCTATAATTATTATTATTTCCCTGGAGATTTTTTAAAAAAGGAAAGATTTCCCTCCTACCTTTCAACCACCCCACCCCAATCCAATCCAATACCATGGAAAAGGGCTCAGGAGGAGGAGAAAGGATAACACGATGTGGAGAGGACCCTTCCAGCCAGAGGTGGATCACCGCTCCTCTGAAAAGCAACCCCCCCACACACACACTTAGATACTCCCATACACTCAGATACTCCCACTTCTGTCAATTCTGTCTCTGTCCGGCATATGCCTTTGGGGTATGTCTGCCTCATTTAAAGGCTCAAGGCTCCTAGAGGGCAGGGCTGGTGATCTCCTGAGGCTGGGAGGAGAGGGAGGGTCAGGACCTGGGGAAGTTTCTGTAGAGATGAGCGGTAGTGATGAGACACATATGTGCCACTCATCAATCAGACCGTAATGTCCCCCACCCCCACCCCTGGAGGGCTGTGCCCCAAATTCAGGGAATTTTAAAGGACTGTTTCCATGACAACTGCCCTTGCTTTTGCGTTGCTATAGCGTCCCTTGGGGGGGAGGGGAGGAAAGGGAAGGGAAGGGAGAGCAGGGAGGGGCTGAGTGCCCTGGAAGGGAATGTGGAGCTTAAGAAGGATGACTCCGACTGGGGGCTCTACTTTGAATGAACACTAAAGCAATAAGCAACCCCCTCTCTCTGTCTTGGAGCAAGGCGGACTGGGGCTGGGCCAATCCTAACTTGATGCAATTACTCTTAGAGTCACCCCAAAACCAGTCCTTCCAGGTAAGGAAGCAGAGTTTAAGAAAAACTGTCTGGAGTATATCTGAGAACCAGTTTGGAGAAACATGAGCTGTGAAAAATCAGGAAAAAGAGGACCCTGCTGTTCTCTGAGCAGGATTGAAGGGAAGAAAATAAAACTGCAGAACAGGTCTCAGGAAGGCACTGAAGAAAATCCCAACTGAGCACCTCAGGAAAGATCTGGAAGCCCTCTTGGGAGGTGAAAAAGGAGGAGTCAGGGCAGAGGAAAGGCTGACATGCACCAGTGGTCTGTTACAGAGAAATGGAGGCATAGGGTGGCAGGTGACCTTCCAAAGCCCTCTGGGAGGGGCCCTTCTAACTGGACTCCTCTGACCCACCCCCACCATGGACCACTCAGAACACATGGTTTCCTCAGCTCCAACATCCACTGCCCACTCCAACCCAAGTCCCCACTTCAATTCTTCAAGCTCCCTCACCCTCTACTTCCAACCGTGGTTTTTCCACGGGGAAATGGTTTTTTCCATCCTCTATTCCCAAGACATTCCCTCCTGGCACAGGATCTGGAGAGGACTTCAATCCTATATTCTTCCTGGCCAGCCAACCTGAAGAGCAAATGGAGTTCACACACCCTCCCTCCCCTCATTCAGTCCTACCCAGCACTGCCAACAGCTGATCCTCTCCATAAAATTCCTTGGACAGAAACTAGCGCAACGGGGGGTGCAATTTTATTCCCTCCCCTTCCCCCCAAGCACATGGAGACTCTAGTCCCAAAGGACTGACAGCATCTGGACTCTAGGCCTCAGGTGTCCACAGACAGGAGGCAGGACAGCTGAAATGAGGAGGTGAATGTCAAGCCAGCCTGAAGAGGTCAAATTAGAGGGAAGCAAGAGGGGAGAGAACAGAATCCTGGGCTAGACAGTTGCAGACCTAGAATCTTAGTTCAGGAAGCAAAATAAGCTAAAATCTGGAAACAGCCCAAGTGCCCATCAGTAGATGAGTGGATAAAAAAGCTGTGAGACATTTACACCATGGAATACTATGCAGCTATAAAGAAGAAGGATCTCGTACCATTTGGGACAGTGTGGAAGGACCTGGAGAATATTATGCTAAGAGAAATAAGCCAGGCAGGGAAAGACAAACATCACATGATCTCACTTATATGTGAAATCTAAAGAACTTAATAAACTGATGAACAGAATTGAATCAATGACATGAAAGCATGGATCAGACTGACAAATGTCAGAGGGACAGAGGAGGGCGGATGGGTGGAGGGAGAGAGATTAACCAAAGAACTTATATGCATATATGCACAACCCAAGGACACGGACAGTGGTAGGGAGAGAGACTAGGGAGGGGAGCCAGACAGGGTGGAATGGGTCATTGGGGAGAAAAAGGGACATCTGTAATATTTTAAACAAAAATAAACAAAACAAAAAGATCAGAGGCTGGGACTGCAACACATGCAAGAAAGGCTAGACTGGGGGCATGAGGAGACTCCCCTGACGATGAGACTAAGTGAGGGAGCCTGTGGAATCTACTTGTTGGGAATTTTCTAGAACAGGAGTGATGGGAGTGGAGAATCATACCCAAAGGCAGGAATAGGATGCTACCGAACCTTAAAGCGGCTGATGAGGTTATGCCGAGTCAGCAACTCAAAAACAATGGTCCTCAGAGCGTGGTCATCCGCTGCCCGGTTCAAGGAAAAGACATCAAAGCACCAGAGGTCCAGGTTCTGTGAAGAAACAATGGACTAGGCAGGGAGGCTCCCAGGGGAGCATCCCAGCAGCAGCAAGGATTGCAGTAAGACTTCCACGAGCACTTCCGGATGATTACAGGGTCTTGGGAAGCAGGTAAACAAAAGGTGGTGGCCTGGCAGGGGGTGGTTCAGTGGTTGAGCATTGATCTAGGATCCAGGAGATCGCCGTTTGATTCCTGGTCAGGGCACATGCCTGGGTTGTGGGCTCGATCCCCAGTCGGGGGCATGCAGGAGGCAGCTGATCAATGCCAACTCTCTCATCATTTGATGTCTCTCTCTCTCTCCCTCTCCCTTCCTCTCTCTGAAATCAATAAAAACATATTTTTTAAAAAAAGAAACCTGTCTCAAAGAGGTGGTCAAATGGACTTCTTTCTTCCCAGATATCACTCGGTATTGCACAGAAAAAAAGGCAGGAGTTTGCTTCTGGAGTGGGCAAAAGTTGTTTTGAGGATCAACGGTTAAAAGGGAAGGCAAAAATCACCCCATACAGAGTCTGGAAATCCCAATGACTATTTCCTCCTCCCCCTCCCCAATCTTTTCCTCTTTCCCGCAAACCCGGGGATCACCTTGAGACAGTTGAGGACAGCAGTGGAATAGGTGGGACCCACAGAGGTGTACGTTCTCCGGAACATCCTAAGGGAAAATAACGAAAAGAGGCTGAGGTATGACGGTCTGCAGAGTGGGGTCTGATCAGGTGAACAGGTGAGGCCTGGGAGACCAGGGGGACTGGGAAGGGGGGACAGGACTAGGGCAGAGGGAGGCGCGCCTCACCGTTCCACGAAGATGCCAGCCTGCACGGCGTGCACGATGCTGCGGAACTTGGGCTTCTCCTCTGCCCGGCGGCCTTTGGCCCGGGTCTGCTGGGTGAAGGTGGAGGCCAGCCAGTCCCGCACCTCCGAAGGCACGGCGTCTGACCGAAGCTCCTGAAGCTCATCCTCTGTGTCCAAGATTTGCCTGAGGCCCCAGAGGGACGGCACAGAGGAAAGACAGGAAATGCTTCCACAACCTACAGACCCTGGGCCCAGCCACACCCCACACTTCAGTAACTCTCAGGCCGGCTCTCTCCCTGCTCTGACCCTCCCGAGCCTTTCTCTCGCTATGTCTTTTTATTTGTTTCTCTATCTCATGTCCCCAATCATAAAACAGTTCACTATATGAGCTAGCGAGCATCCCAACTCTGAAAGTGTTCAAGCAGACATTGGAATACAAGCTGACAGGGATGCTAAAGGCCAGCAGCTCTGTCCAGCAGAAATAAAATGCAAGACACATATAAGTAACTTGAAATTTTCCAGTAGCCACTTTAAAAAGATAAAAAGAAACAGGTGAAATTCACTTTAAAGATAAATTTTCTTTAACCTAATATACCCCAAATATTATCATTTCAATGTGGAATTAATATAAAATGTATTTTTAATTAATTTATATATATATATAATTGATGAGATATTTTGCATTCTTGTTTGGAAATCCAGCATGTATTTTACAAATACACACACATCTCAATTCACAGTTGCCACATTTCAAGCCCCAGTAGCCACATGAGACCAGTGACTGCCACACTGGGCGTGCAGGTCTGCGACAGGGGGCATTCCACTCTGGGAAGAAGGCTGGGACTAGATGAGCTTTAAGCTAACAGCCTTCTCTCCTTGACACCCGTGTTTGCCTCTGTCTCTACAACTCTGCCTGTTCCTCTGCCTCTATGTCTGCTGATATTTCTACCTAGAGCTCTTCCTCTCTGCCCTTCTCACTCTTCCTTCCTGCTCTGACCCCGGCACACATCTCCATCCGCGGCTTGCCATCTGACTCCCAGTGCCTGGGTTACTGTGACTGTCTGGTATCTTCCGCCTCTGTGGGCAGATCTCTCCCTGCTGCCCAGCATCCCCACTGTCACCACTCTCACCGAGTCTCATCTATGTAGACGGCCTCCAGCAGGGAGGCTGTGTACTCCAGGTTTTTCTTCAGCTCCTCAATGTTGACCTCCCCATTCTCCAGCTGCTTCACCATGCATCGTAGCCTGGGAGGGGGTGAGAGAGACACAGACATCCTGCTTAGGCACTGCTACCTTGTCATGAGGGCAGGATACCTTCCGTCTTCCATAATCATTAATCATTCTAACAGTAAGACTAATAACAGCTAATGGTTTTCATCTCAGGGTACTGCCACTTCCTGTATTAAATTTACCTACACCACCACCCCACCACCCAGGTTTAATCCCAGGCTTTTCCTGACTCCTGTCCCCATCCACCTCTGACCTCTTAACACTCCCCTTTAGTCAGTGTTGCCTGAACATTCTTGTTCAGACTGCCCGGGGCTCAGCAGAATTAGGAAGGTACAAGCCCCTGGGGTGATGTTTTGGGGGTGGTTTGTTTCATAGTCTGAATAACCAGGAGCTGAAACTGCTTATTTCCCCCATGAGAGAGGCTCTGGGATCAACAGCAATCAAAAGAGTACTCAAGATTCTTTCCTTATGTCTCTAGGTCATGGTGGAGAGGGAGGTACATGTCCATCGCCCCTCTGTCTCTGGCAGGGATGGCAAAGACACAGAACAAAGAGCAATCTGAATGCTTTTGCCTGGCCTCACTCCACCCAGGCAGAGCTAATGGATTCTGATTCCAGAATCCATCAACCAGGACAAAGCAGGATTAACCCCTGCCTGCCAGGTACCAGAGAGAACCTCTGGCAAAGGGTGACCCATGCCCTACCTCAGCCCTGCAGCAGCTTTCCCAGAGCGAGAGTGCTGGGGGTGGCGCCAGGGGTCTCACTTACTGAATGTGTTGCCTGAAGAGACAATGCCCCAGTTTGCACTCTTGAATTCTGGGGGTCAGTGATTAACTGGGAGGCTTCTTAGAAGTCTGGTGGGTACAGCCCAGGCAGTCATGAAGCAAACAATGCTCTCTGACTTTAGACGGTGATTTTAAAGGAAGCAATTAAACATTCCCCTCTCGCTCCTTCCCTAGCCCTGCCCAGCCCCACTTAATTGGGGGTGAAATGGTGGGCATCACATTCCCCACTGAGAGGGGCTAAAGAAACCCAAGGTCACCCTCTGAGTCAGGGAGCAGAAGAGAATGAGTCAGGGACCAGACGCTGAAATTAGCATCAATTCCCAGAGATGGTGGGGGAGGCGGGGAACAATGGCATTCCTGAACGGAGGCAGCTCTAGAATCCTGGGGTCTCAGCAGCTTTGGAAGAGGGCTGCCAAAACAGCCAGCCCCAGGAAGCATCACGGGCCAACTCTCACCTCAGGGACGAGCAGTCCTGGCTGAAGACATGCCTGAATGCACATGGGGCAGAAGGGAAAGGGGGGAAATGGGAGGACGACACTGCGCCTCCTCAGTGGGCTGTCTTCAAATCCCACTTCTCACCTTTCTACTGCACCCCCTCCATGTGCAAACAGTGGGTTTAAAGAGGCTGAGTTCAGTAAAGCTCAGACCCAGCTGGGGCTTCAGTAGATAGAAGGAATAGAGGCTAGACAAGAGAAAAGGCTTTACAGCCAAAGAGCTAGAAAGGGGGGCCAGAGCCAGCATCTCCCAGAGTGCCACCGCAGCCATCACAGAACAGAGGTACACTCTGCCTTTGGGGCCCAGGCTCAAGCCAGGCTTCCTCCTCCTGATTAGTCCCTGTGGCCTGGGGCCCTCGAATCTGGGGGCACACAACATAGGAAGAAATAAAGGCCTCATATCCCATCTCCCCCCAGATTCCCATACTAGCCCTAATCTTCCACTTTGGTCAGCCCTTTTTACAACCAAATGCCCTCTGCCAAAGTTTTTTCCTCAACCCAACCAGCCTCTCAAATCACATCTGAGCACAGGCTCCCAAAGTGAACAGTCAAGCCCACGGGTGCTCATTTGCATGTATTCGCATAATCGCTAACAATGCTGCCAGCTCTACATTTCTTAGCTTTCTCCTACATTATCTCATTTTCTCCTCACAGTGAGCCTGGAGGGAGGGAAGGAGGGAGGTGGGAAGGAATTGCTATCCCTATTTCCAAAGCAGAAACCAAGGCTCAGGTCTGGGAGGCAGCAATCCTGGATTCAAACCTATCACTTCCTGGCTCTGAGCCCTTGGGCACGTCACTAATTCTTAATCAGCACCTATAAAAACGTGGCCTATAGACCACTGGCATCAGAACCACCTAGGATACTTGTGAAAATTTTAGATTCTAGGTCCCACTCACTACACACCTATTGAATCAGAATATCTTAGGGTATGGTCCAGGAATCTGCAATTAACAAACATTCCAGATGATTCTCATGCACACTAAAGTTTGAGAACTTTTATTTTAGAGCCTCAATTCCTTCATCTGTAAAATAGTGAGGATGATAATAAACCACCTGTGAAGGGCTGTTAATAAGAGGATTAAATGAAATAATATATGCAAAAGCCTGGCACATACAATGGGTCTTTGCAAATCTGGTTTGAATCGGAATTAACTGACTAGCATTATGCTGGCCCTACCCAGCTCATGGCTCACTCCCTTCAAATCCAACAGTGCCTGCCTTCTTTCTCCCAAGTCCAGAAGAGTAAGTCTAGTTTAGATGGAGACTAGTAATTAGTTAGTACCCTAACAGAGGAAATGGGAGAGTGAAAATGGTCATAATCTCTCCTTTAAAATTACAAACCTCATTTGAGCCTCACAATCACCTGATGAGGAAGGTTGAGTGACTTGTTTAAGGTCACACAACTTGTCAATCTCAGTCAGGTTGGCAAGCCTACAACTCACACTACTGGAGCTTTAACTGTGCCCCAAACACCAAAGGTGTTGGGCAGAGGGAGCACAATCATTTAATTAGTATGGAGAGAGGCTAGAGCCAATTCCATCATAGCTTCTTCAATCAATCTCGGTCATCCATCTTTCATGAAGTGTTGGCGTCCATTGACCCATAGTAGACTGTAAGTGTCCTGATGATACTGACAATGACTTGTTTATCCTGGCTGCTGTGTGCAGAGCACACAATACATGCTCAGTAAATGTTCATTAAATAAATAAATGGGAGAGAAGGCAGATTAATTAGGTGAGGAGCTATCTGCCAGAGCTCACAATTGCTATTGCTGAGCCAGGATTTCTCTGTAATGGAGAGCCTGGGGAGAGGATTGAGATCGTGGGCTGCCTTTCAATACACCCCTCCCTCCAAGTTCCTCCTGCCTCCACCTCTAGATCTTGTCCAGGAGCTCTTTAATAGCTCCTGTTGAAATCTGAACCCAACACAATCCAGACCCCACCAAGGAGAGAGAAGAAGAGAGGTTAAAGAATATATTTGACAAATGGGGAGTCCAAGGAGGGAAACATGGACTCAGGAGGCTAGAAGGATCCAGGTGCTGAACTTCACCTTCCTGAAGTTATATAATCCCCACATGGCCTGACAGGAGCCTCTCTGTTTCTAAAATCCTTCAGAGTTAAGATCTCCCCTGGCACACCTAAAGTCCTCACCTCACCATTCTTCTACAAGAAACCCTACTCCCCACCCCTATATCAGTTTTAATCCAATCCCTCTGATTCAGTCTTTGGAGAATCTGGCAGGGAAGGGTTCCTTTCCCTGCAAAACAGAATGCTCAACCCTGTCCAGTCCACATCCAGACCTAAGGAAAACTGGAAGCTTCCCCAACATTCCTTCCACCTCCACCCCTAGCCCTGTGTCACCACCACCACTTCTTTCTCCTTTACCCTCAGTTCCTGCACCATGGGAAAAGCCTCAGATCCTGACCCTTGGAAGGCCCCAGTGTCTCCCAGCTCTTGACTGCCAGCTGGAAAAGAAGGTTCTGGGCAGTAATAACCCCCAAACCCCAGAAGAGCTCAGCTTCCTCAGCCTCCACCAGTTCATTTCTTTGGATTATCATATGGCTGATGATCTGGTGATTTCCAAATACCCCTGTACTACTGTCAGAATCCACATTCCCAAAAAGACCACTGTAAGTAGGGGGCTCAGCACAGGACAGCCTTAAGTCAAGGGGCTGAGAGTTGTGAGAAGAATCTTTGTTCCCTTTTGGGTTCTTAAGACCAGATGAGATTTCAGAGGAACGTAAGGTCCTAAGTATGCTGGGGGTCACGAAGCAGAGAAAGGAGGGAAACTCTGCTAAGTCACCTGCTGTAGTCAAGAAGTGATAAAAAGGGGAGATGGACAATGAAGAGAATGGGTGAAGGGCAAGACCGATGGGGTAAAAGGTGGAGCAGTACACACACACACACACACACACACACACAAAACACATGGGGAATGTCAAGTCTTAATCCCTCCCCTCCATCAAATTACAACTGGTGGAACCACAGCAACCTGTCATTCTCCTCCCCTCCCCCTTCCTCACCCTTGGCTCCTACCACCTACCGGAGGATGGGGCCCTGGAGGTGGCTCCTCTGCACAGGAACAGGATTTGCCATGGGAATCAAAGTCTCCTACTTCAGAGCATCAATATGCTGCCCCCAGGGCCTGGGGCCCCCGGGAGGAATGACTCCCTCTTGGCCCCCTGACTTCCTCCTCCAGGTCTCAGCAGAACTTAGTGACCCACCCGAGAGAACTTTGGGGAGGGGAACAGAAGGAGCCTGCCTGGAGGAAGAAGTCAGTGATGAGGCAGAGACCCAGCCCACAGCAACTGGGTGAGAGGCCTCGGGAAAAGTTTCACATCTGAATCAGACTGAAAACAAGAATCTGTTCTCAGAAAAATCCCAGAAAGGACAGAAATAGCACAGGCCATCCTCCTGCTCTGAGGAGGTGGGGCTCTTTGAGGAGAAGGGGTTAGTAGGAGGCTTAAGGGTGCAAGGACAGGGAACCATCCTGAATCTGTCCTAATGAGAAAGTCTGTAGTGGGAGGTGAAGAGGCTCTGCACGAGCCCACCAGAGGGGCCGAGACTCAGTTCCCTCCCAGGGCTTCTTCCGTGGCCACTTTTCAAAACGAGAGCTTTAACCCACCGGAAAGAATGGAAGCAAGGCAGGAAGAGAATTAGAAACTGCAGGGGAGGGGCTCGCTGAAGCTAGGGATCAGGGGATCCTCACCCAGCGACCCTTTCAACCAGGAGGGAAGCCCCTATTCTCCCCACCCCACCCCCACGCGTGAATGAAAATCAGGAGGACTTGCTCACAGAAACCAAGAGATCGGGAGAGTTACATTAACACTCCCGGCCCCAGTTTTCTCATCTGCAAAACGGGGGTTGGGGGATAATCGAATTAACTGGAGAGGGAGAATAGAAGT